AACTGGATTGTCTTTAAGCTATCAACTTTAGTAATGATGAGAGACTTTCCAGAGGTTGTGCATAGCATCACAGAGTAAGATCCTGAAGAGCTATAAGTGCGTTTCCAAACCAAATAGATGAGTTATAAAATGCTGCGCTACACACAGGAATCGAGGCACTAAGATCAATGACATTAAACATTCCCAAGCAAGTTGTTCAGCATAAGTAATCGCTGCAATGTAAGCGCTTGATGAGCAGTACCGTGAGGCGCTGCTGAAGCGGGGCAAGCGGCACTGTGCAAAGCGGGACCGATCCCAATAAAGCCCCACATTTCCAGACGGCAAACTCCCAGGCACTGTGAGACACACCAGTGACAGAGGCCGGCTGGGTTTGCAAAGTCCTGTGGTAAATTCCCCAGCCTGGAAGAAAATCCTATTTAATTTTACAAGACCTTCCTGGCCTCTAAAAATCCTCCATGATGTCTTGGTTTGCTGGTGGGAGAAGCTGCAGAGCGGAACGCCTACAGAACGCTCCGGTGGAAACTTTGTGTTTTCTTTTTTTTTTTTAAGGTCAAATCGAATGATCTGATTGCAGCAGTGAAATTATAAGAATCGGTCGTGTTTTTTCTTTTGTTTATGAATGTTTTCGTTTCTGCTTGATAAGTCTGGTGTAAATAAATAAGCTCTGCAGATGGGAGGAGATGGCGGATCTTTGTCTCCTGTTACCTTTAATAACTTCTACTCTCACACAGCAACACATTTGAACTGGCCTGCTTCAATCCCATCAATAAAGTTTCATCTCAGACATTCAGCAGACTTCTAATAATCTGCTTTTTTCCTTCCAGAATCATCTATTCAAGGTGATTCTGGCTAAATTAAGGGTTTTAATTTCTTTTAAGCCTTTTTTCTGTTCAGTTTCAAGCCGAAGTTTTAAACATCTTTTAGCTCCTTGAGTTATCAAAGCAAATATGGGAATGTTAGCAGAGATGCATCAATCCATGGGTTAGAGATGAGATTCAAGTGGTTTTCCCTTGATTAGTAAATGCCTGGTCAAACAGTAAAAAAAATAAAAAATAATAATTTTTCAATTCATTAAACACATGAAAGCTACAAATTCCCAACATTTTGGAAACTCCTTTAATGTTGTTTTTAGTAAAAAAAACAAAGTTTTGTCTGATTCTTTAAAAGTTTTTGAAGACTTGTAATTCCTTGATTTTTTCTGGTGGATTTAAATCTACTAACCCCATCACAGAACCTGAAGAATGTATTATTATTATTATTATTATTATTATTATTATTATTATTATTTTGTCTGTTACAGTGAAAAGAAAAATATAAATCAATCAAAATCTGAATTGGTATCTGATCTCTGATTTCGACTTGACGACTTTCTACCATCGCAAAGATAAATACATAACTATGAAAATTTTAGCCTAGTGAGTAGGATTTAATGAGGGACTTAACTTCAACAATCAACTTTAAAAGTGTAAAACTCTACAAAAATAAATCCGAGTCTGGCTTGGAAGTCTCACCTGGTGACGTTAATATTCAACAGATGAAATATTCTCTTCACTTTTGCCCAGAGTTGTTTGACCCCTGTCCACTTTTTGCATATGTGGCGGCCTACGTGCCAGTGGTGTTTGTAATCATAGTTAAAATTAACTAAAAAAAATAACTAAAATAAATTAGCTTCTCTGTTGTATATAGACTAATAAATAAAGTTAACAGAACTGTTTAAAATGTCATTAAAATTTAGAAAGCATTTTCCATCATGTTCTACATTTAAAACTGTTATATGGTAAGATCTTCAGATTACTTCAAAAATTTTTGTATTTATTTATTTATTCTCATTTTTAAAGGGGCAGTATTATGTAAAATCTATTTTTTGAGCTTTTCATTGTGTTATAATGTTATTTCCTAATCAAAAACATACCTGGTGTGTTGCCTTGATTCTTTCACACATGTTTGATAAATCCTTTAATCTCCATGGCAACCATTCAACTGTTCGAAACAGCTGGGTGGACTTAGCCCCGCCTTAGAGGACAAAGCTCCTCCTCTGAGCTGCAGTTTCCAAACTTCCGCAGCCATCCAATGCAACTCCCCCACTCAGCTCCTTCAGACTAGCCAGCAGCAATTAGCAAACAGTCCATCTCAGGGCAACACAGAGACACACAACCATACATGCAAACACTCACACCTATCGGCCTTTTACAGAGATGCTGAAGTACCCAGAGAGAACCTGAACATGTGAAATCCACACAGGTCAGGATTTCAACCTAGAACTTTCTTCCTGCAAGACAACAGCGCTACCAACTGTACCACCATCCAGCTGTCTATCAAAATCAGGGGAAATTCTGTCATAATGCTGCACATTTTGCTTTATTTATTTTCTGATATTTGCTGCAAAAGGAGAGTAACATCTCTGAGGAACTCCAGTGGCGGCGTTCAGGTTGCTGATCATGTCACATGATCAGCATGTGACATGATCATGTGAAAAATATTTTCAGCTTTGCAAAACAAATCAACTTTGAAACGCCAACTTTGCGAGTTTTTGTAGAAAAGTAAGGGATTTTTCAAAATTATAATGTTTCTATTATGCTAATTTATTTTCAAATTGTGCAATCATACAGTCAATGGAAGCGCAGCCAGACAGCAGTGTAAAAATATACGGAGATTTTAAAATGTATTCATTCAAAACCACTTACATTCTCCATCATGCCATTCCTACGGTTTAAAAATAAGATGCAAGAGATAGTCCTGGAGTTAATTCATGTGTGGCTATTGCTGCATATGGTTGACCAGCTGGCTGAAAGAAGGCCGCCACGCTTCTTTCATCAGACCAATCAAGCTTTTTTTGTAATATTTAATCTTGAGTAAAACGGAAACTACAGGAACTCCTCTATGTTTTAAAACTAAAAGCTGCGAGGAGCGTGTTTCTATGGTAACCGACTGCAGAGCTAAGCTACCAACATGGTTCACTGATCACTTAAAGTCAGATCTTCATAATTTATGTACGTTATGCACTTGTGTCCATGTACCACAATGGCAATCGGTGCATTTGTGTAATAAATTCAGAAGCAGCAGGAGTAATTGGTGCTTTTCTGATCATATGTCATATTTTTATGAAATACCATAACAGCATAAAAGTGGATTGAAAATCTCATTTCTTCTCAATGCATAACAGAGATAAACATGGGTTCATTTCAGCCTTGTTTTTTCACAGTTTCAGTTGATTTCAACCCTTTCGATTATTTCTCTGAATGTAGATCTGATCAAATAAAAGCAATTTATTTGCTTAGGGTTAGGGTTAGGCTTCCTGACATTTCAAGACTGGCTTCTTTTTGAACAGTGTGTATTCTCGTCTTTCCCCTTTTTGAAGACTGACTACTAGAAATGGAGCTCCAGGTTACATCGTATTATAGATCAGGGAAACAGAAGGTCTTCGATTACTAATCAAAGTTAATTGAAGTCAATAAGAACTGCTTTGGTTGCTTTTAGGAATTGCTAGCTGTTCAAATAGTTGAGTTTTAAAGTAAACAAAATGTTTCACATTTTCTTTTCTTCCCAAAAATTGGATTTTGGTTTTCCTAATAGTAAAACACCGCTGTTAAGGTTTTCTGTATTCGCTTTGTGTTTTTGTTTTGTCCAACGGATGCCAAGAAATATGAAAGCGGCTCTAAATATCAGTTTGGTTCATTTGTGTCAGCGTCCCGCCGCATCTCAAAGGAACCTCACACTTCTCTCAGCCTCTTCATCAATCGATCATGTCTGTCTCTCGGCTCCATAGCAACGGCCTTCTGTTTTCTTTCGTTGCACTCTCTCTTTTCCTCCAAATCCCAACTTTTGCAGTGATGCATGTTGGGAGTTGTGCTGTTCGCAGGCAGCCGCTTCTGGCTCTGCCGCTCTTCTCCGTGGGATGATGATGATGATGATGATGAATACATTTCAATCTTCCCGTCCCTGGCTCTGACTTCAGGGAGCGGCGCTGCGAGCCAGGATATCAGTCTTATAGCTTATCCAGAGCGATCCATCACACACACATCATCCTCCAACACAAACACACACACACACGTGTGTTTGCGTGGCTATTTTGTGGGGACCTTCCATCGACTTCTGTTCATTTCTACAGCCTAACTCTAACCCTAATCACCACATACCTAACCCCAACCAAAACTGAATTCACACCTTATCCTAAATCTGACCCCTGACCCAAAAACAGCGTTTCCCCCTGTGGGGACCAGGCTTTGGTCCCACAAGGAGCAGTGGGTCCCCACAACGTGGTATGTGTCTGGAAAATGGTCCCCATAAGCTATTACAAACAAACACACACACATACACACACACACACATACTATCTCTTTTTCTTAGAGTCCAAATGACCATGGTGACTTTTTTCTCTTTTTATCACAGTAGTGGAGTGAGGGCAAAAAGACCAACTTGCACTATCTTTGCTTAATCCAAATAACGTTCCGAATAACCGACATGACAGACAGTCTAAATTAGACGTGCACAACAACGAGGGGCAGCGAGTATTCGCCAAGGACTGATGTTTTGAAACCCGTCCAGGAAAAAAGATGTGCGTTTAATAAAACTGAAAGGCTGATCTGACTAACAGACTGAAGCTGACCTGATTTCCTGCTGATCAGCTGCATCTGTAGCTCCGATGTTGTTTTTTTTCTTCTTCTTCTTCTTTTTTTTCCATTTTGCATACAGTTTCATTTTCGTCGTAGCCAAAAAGCAGGTGTGACAACATTAGGACCATCGTGGGAATCCACAGCGAAGCCCGGAGAAATAAAATTCTCCCTCCCTCCCCGGCGGAGCCTGTTTGGTGAAGCAGTTGTTCTGTTCGGGAAAACTCTGGATTTATGAATTGAAATGTCAAGCATCGTAAATAACAATGACCGGATTTAATGACAGGTTTAGCGCTGAGAGCTTGCTGCTGTTTTGGATGATGCTCAGCAGCTCTCAGTTGTGTGTGTGTGTGTGTGTGTGTGTGTGTGTGTGTAGGAGGAGGAGGGCAC